CGGGGGCCCAACGAGCCCTTACGGCAGTCGATGAGGCTTTAACTCAGAAACGAGCACTTCGTGCAGTGTTTGCAATTCCCGCTGAGTTACTGCTTATTAATCGTGATTTTCAGCCTGTTGGATTGATTATGCGATGGGTTGAGCACAAGCAAGATCCTCTGAAAGTATTGGAATAGTTATTTCTTGCTCATCAGCCTCCAAAATCTGTTATGACCAGGCCAGAAATGTTTGCACAATTGATTATAAAAGGAAGAGAACGGATAGTAGATTTGTCAGGAGCAGAAGCTCGTGTTATTGTTATTCCTTTGACAGAACAGTACTTACAACGGCGTATGCAAAATAGCCTTCCGTTGCAGGTAGTGTTTACTGGCTATGGAGGAGCTATTGAAATATACATAGTCATCGTTCATTTATGCAACAGGAATTCCTTGTTGAATGCCCCAAATGTAGTCCGATGCCTGAGCACGGACTCACAGTATTTACAGATTGCAGTGGGAAAACCGGTAAGGCTGCTATCATACGGCACGAAGACGGCAGCTGGAAATCGATAGTGGTGTATTCGCAAGGCTCTCCACACACATTACAGCTAGTAGCTGTGACAGAAGTTTTTAAACGTTGGGCCACGGTTCCCATCAATATTATTTCAGACTCAATCTATGTAGTGGGAGTAGTTCAACATCTAGAAAAGGCCTACTTAAAACACCTACCCGTTGAGAATTTGTTTTTGCAGATGAAACGATTATGCTTTTTATTGACACAATGGGCACATCCATATTATATCTATCACCACCGTAGCCTCACGAATTTACCGGGATTTTGTACCGAGGGTAACGCCGAGGCAGATCCGTTGATGCAACCGGTCAGCGTCTCTCCCGTTCCCTACGCGTGGCCACGGGCTAAATTATCACGTGAATTTTTTTGTCCATTGGCAAAAGTACTCAGACAGCAATTTCCTCTCCACACACATTACAGCTAGTAGCTGTGACAGAAGTTTTTAAACGTTGGGCCACGGTTCCCATCAATATTATTTCAGACTCAATCTATGTAGTGGGAGTAGTTCAACATCTAGAAAAGGCCTACTTAAAACACCTACCCGTTGAGAATTTGTTTTTACAGATGAAACAATTATGCTTTCTATTGACACAAAGGGCACATCCATATTATATCTATCACCACCGTAGCCTCACGAATTTACAGGGATTTTGTACCGAGGGTAACGCCGAGGCAGATCCGTTGATGCAACCGGTCAGCGTCTCTCCCGTTCCCTACGCGTGGCCACGGGCTAAATTATCACGTGAATTTTTTTGTCCATTGGCAAAAGTACTCAGACAGCAATTTCATTTAACTATGGCAGATGCCAAAACAATTATTCGAGAGTTCCCTGACCGTTGACGCTTAGCGAAGGGGCCGATGGTTGCAGTTAACCCTCGTAGTCTGCACTCCCTACAGATATGGCAGATGGACGTTACACGTGTTCCTGAATTTGGCAAGTAAAAATATGTACATGTGCCAGTGGACACATTTGCACAAGCGGTATGTATAACAGCGCTGGGAGGAGAAGTCTCTCGTCATGTTCAAACTCATTGCCGTCGGGCATTTGCCACCCTAGGTATCCCGAAACGCATTAAAACGTACGATGCTCCCGCATATCTTTCTCACTCAGTGTGACGATATTTTCACCGATGGGGAATTCGACATGTGGCAGGTATTCCCCATTCTCCCACAGGTCAGGCCATCGTTGAAAGAATGCATCAAACCGTAAAGTTATATTTGCAAAAACAGAAAAAGGGGGAGTCTGGAGAGCCCCCGGCGAACAGATTAGCTAAAGTACAATGCGTCTTAAACTTTTTACGATTACCGGTGAACGCCGCTGTCCCACCCCTAGTAACACATATGCAAGCAATGTCTACAGAGATGACAGAATTTACAGTGGAAATTAAAGTCTTACTGAAAACTCCAGAAGGAAATTGTGAGGGCCCTATGAAACGATTAATGTGGGGTCGAGGATACGCTCGTGTTTCCTCGGGTAACGGACCACGATGGGTCCCGGCTAAATGGGGAGCCCTACGGAAACGCTCCGAGGAATGGACATCGTAATCTGCGTAGCCTCGAATACAGTCTTTGAGCCGTGGCATACGACACCCCGTCAGAATCTTTGGGTGACGTACGCTAATTTGACTAACCGGTTGTCCTTTTGTCTATCCTTAGCGACCCCTGGAGATCCCTTTCGCACATGTCTAATAGGGATGAACGATGTGCAAAAGTGAAGAGTGTTTAAAGATTATGTTAATAACCCACATGTCTTTAAGACAGTTACAGGTGCAACCCATATTCAAAAAATACTTCAACACCTGAATCGCACTTGGCCAGACCCTGAGGAACTCGATATCATCGCCACCCTTGGAAACAATAGTTGTCTTGCGTTCAGTCCTCGAGAAGAAAACATGACCACCCAACTGCAGGGATGGACCACACGTTTGCTCATCCACCTTCTGGGGCAAAAACTAATGAGAAAATGGTTGATTTATCCAAATATGCAAAATATAAGCCCCTATGATGAAGGCTATGACAACAGCACTTGGAAGTGTGGTGGTCGCTTAGGGATATTAGAATCAAACATCACAACAAAGCCAAAGTTGCTGTCACCAGGAATATTTTTACTGTGTGATGATAGGGCATGGCCAGGAATTCCTGCTAGACCTGTAGGAGGACCATGTACTTTAGGGAGATTAACCATGTTTGCTCCATCCACACATCAGGTATCAATTCAAACAATTAAATCCGTTCGTACAAAGAGTTAATACAATACACCTCAGATTGTAATTCACAAGTAAAAAATTGGAATATTGCTGAGCGAGTGATGGTATCTCTGTTTGCCCAGCAGGTAGGAGTAGCCAAAGCATTAGGGAATATTGACAAGCTTTCTTGTCTTGTAGCAAAACAAAACAATCTAACCTCGGCCTTAATCTCAGAGCTTGCCTTAGATGTAGGTTCAATTAGACATGCTACACTCTGATTTTTTGTCATTAGCTCAAGGACGCGGGTGTGAAGAGTGTGAAGGCACGTGTCGCATGAACCTTTGATCATTCGGAATCTATTCACAGGCAACTAAAACAATTACAGGTTCTAACACAAGAGCTTGGCCAGAATATTGGAGGTAGTTGGTTAAGAGACCTACTAGGAAGGACCTACTAGGAAGATGGGGCATCACAGGACGGTTACAAGAGTTTCTTAACCCTGGAGGAATGTTTCTTGTTTTAATTGTGTGTGTACTAATGATAATCCCTTGTATATTACAGTGTGTACAAAATATGATTTTAAAACATATTCAAACCATTAACACTGTTACTGTTAAAACCAAAGGGGGAATTGTGGGGATGTTTCTAGCAGAGATGGGAGGCCACGGCTGCATGGAGCTGATAGAAGAAGGCCCCGGAGGGAAAAGACAAACGTGAATGAGAGTGAACCCGTACCGAGGACGAAGAGAAGATGCCAAGGTAAGAGTTAACAGCTATATTACGTAGTGTCACGCGGGCAGTAGGAGGTAGCAAATGAAATGTATAGTTTAAGGCGCAAACAGATAAGAATGACCGATCGGTTGCAGCCAAGTGAAACCTGAATAGATAAAAATGACCAATCAGTTTTAGCCAAGTGGAATCTTTCTGTCAGTGGAACATATATAAACACAGCCAGCAAATAAATAACGTCTTCGATCTTTCATCGGAGTCCGTGCCTTCATCGCCTCAGAAAGCTGCTGCTGGGTCTCTTCTGCGCATGGTGACTTCAGCAACGGTGCCACCGGCATTGCTCTCGCTCACTGTTTGCCCACCCAAAAGTCCAATTGCATGCATCCTCAACGGTGCCCTGTCGAGGCTGGGACGGGCCCATCACATTCAGCACAAACGTCTGGTTCCCGCTCCCACAACCAAAGGGCCAGGACGGAAAGCTGCCGTTGGTCCTCTTGTCCACATGGTGAGCTGTGCAACGGTGCCACCAGCATTGCTCTCGATCCTCGTTTTCCCACCCAAAAGTCCAATTGCATGCATCCTCAACGGTGCCCTGTCGAGGCTGGGACGGGCCCATCACATTCAGCACAAACGTCTGGTTCCCGCTCCCACAACCAAAGGGCCAGGACGGAAAGCTGCCGTTGGTCCTCTTGTCCACATGGTGAGCTGTGCAACGGTGCCACCAGCATTGCTCTCGATCCTCGTTTTCCCACCCAAAAGTCCAATTCTGTGCCGTGGGAGATACGGATAGCACAACAACCAATACGATTACATGCTGACGCTTTACTGAGCCCAAATAGCTGTTTATATAACCTTTCTAACTGTTCACGTGAACTCTATACAATCTCGATTGGCTAAGTCCACTAATGCACGCACGTAAATACAGCTCGTGATAAGTTTAAGCTTTCAGTACACGCAAAGGCTTTATCAGTCCGAAAGTATGCCGAGTTTCTTGTTACATAACCGGGAGTTGTCTTTCTCAAACTAACTCCCTCATTCCACTGCCGCAAATATTCTTCAAGTAACCTTATCGCTAGGCCGTGGTGTCTAACTCAGACTCCTGCTATTGACATGAGTCCTGGATCGCTCATGTGTCCATTTTGTTCCAAATAATCCTCCACAATTCCCCCTTCTTTTCTTTGAACGATCCCTACATTCTTAATTGATTTTGATATGAAAGTGATTAGACATCACCATAATATACAAGCTGCTATAATAAGTACTATTGGCAGTCTTATCGTTAAACCGGCCTTAAATAGATCTCTTAGCCATCTTACTATACCTAGACTATTCAACCATTTGTCTAAACCAAGTCCTTATATAAGTTAACATATCCACATCGTATACATATGGTATCTATAATTCTATCTACACAAAATTGTTGCCTGCTATTATAATGAATTAGTCTCTTACCACAATACACACAATTAGCTATAAAATACAGCGAACAACGTCTGCACAAAGGACAAGGAAAACGACTGGTTTTGATATTTTTTGTTGGTCTAGCTCAAGTGATGGGTTCTATCCTCCCATTTATAAATTACTGTCAGATTCTTTCTGAGGTTTCACCCTTCGTGCTGAGATCCAGCGGAGTCCCTCATCTGTAATCAAACACGTATATCCCCTACCATTCATTTGCACTTCAACAGGTCCTTTCCATTGTCCTGTGCTTAAATCTTTATATTGAACCAAAATTTTGTCTTTTCTCTCTAAGCCACATTTTAATACACTACTGTGAACAATCACTGTAATTCAATACATACACTGCTTTAGCTATACGTTCAGCTGGTCCCATACCATTTTCCCCCCTCTTTTGTTTTAAGAGCTGTTTTTTTAACATTTGATGCACTCACTCTACTACAGCTTGTCCTTTGGGAGAGCATGGAATACCTTTCATCGGGGTCTCAGTGGATCACTTGCTACAACATATATCATCAAGCCTTATTATCACCCATCTTAAGCATAGCTAATTGGTTACAACTGCTTTTCACACGCTGTCCACACACACTAATCTAATACATAATTGGTTTGCTGGCAATACCGTGTTTCTTGGTTATCGCAACTGTCCGTTCCTGTCTTTGTTCTCGGTCCGTCGCCTGCCTTCCCCAGGGGTCCTTGGATGTTTTCCAGTGTCCTTGGATGTATTCCAGAGACCTTGGATGTATTCTGGAGTCGGGTCTACGCGCCGGTGCATTTCGGAGTCGGGTTTATGTGACTTCAGCCAAGCACATGGCTCTTGCTGAGTTTTGTACAGGGCCTACTACATTTCTATATAAGCATGCCCATTTTCATCTAAGAAAGATCGTGCAATTCCCCCTTTTTGTTTATCCTGCGTTAACCAGACTGTTTTTACGATTTGTTGCATTTTTTAAGTCCTTGCTTAAGTAATTAAACAAAAGATTGAGTATGCTAAAGTTGCTATAGCTGCTAGATATGCTAAGCATTGAATTAAGCATTGAACTAAGCATTACGCTATTTAATAATGTCTCATTTCCCACAAACTCCTTGAAATCCAAAAGTACAAAGTAAGGCCAACAAGGCATGTGTGAAATGGGTTCCCTACTTGAGTTAATGTTAAGCAAATTCCCTATTACCTGTTGCATTAGCCCATGTTAGCCATACATTTTGATGCGTATCGAAGGTTATATGCAAAATTGTTTCTAATGGCA